GAGAGAGAGAGAGAGAGAGAGAGAGAGAGAGAGAGAGAGAGAGAGAGAGAGAGATGCCCATTGAGTTTGTCTCTTCTTTGTGCGAAAGAACTTCAATGAAGAAATGGCAGAGTAGAGGGGAAGGCACACTCGAAACTGAGAGAGAGAGAGAGAGAGAGAGAGAGAGAGAGAGAGAGAGAGAGAGAGAGAGAGAGAGAGAGAGAGAGAGAGAGAGAGAGAGGTCTATGAAGTATGTTCTTCTTTGTCTGAATGAAGGAATGGCAAAGGACAGGAAGGCACACTGCCGCACCCATGACATGAAGCGTTTAGTTTGTCGTTTTTCGTTTCTGCAACTTGCTTTCTTGTGTCTATCTGACGTTGTGCTCGTATGCGATGGAATACCTACTACTAGTTTGTCCGTATCATATGTGAACGACAATGATTCCCTAGTCAGGCTAGTCTATGGCTGACATGATGTGCCATGTGACTTAACGACTCTTCTCTGTGTGATCTGGGCTTCTTTGTGTGTTTTCCGGTGGTTTTCCTATTCTGTTCTGGCTGGGCGCAGCAGCCCTTTTGTCCGGGCCGTCTTCAGGTGTGAATGCTATTTTTGGAAAGAAGATGCCCTTTACGCAGCCGTTGCAAGATCCATCTTGCGGTGGAGGCGGTGATGACGGTGCAAGCAGCCCCTCGATGATGCTTCATCACAGCAACGGTCATCACCACCACCACCCTCATAACGCCCCCATGGCCATTCCCTTGGCCTCTATCCCCCGATCTGCACCTGCCAATGGTATGCTGCCATTGCATCATGTTCATCCGACATCCACGTCGAGCAGCGGCGACACGTCCTCTCCCCGAGGGTCAGCGTTGGGTACGGCCTCGGATCTCCCCCTCTTTCACATACCCACGTCAGCTCCAGCCTCCCACACTCCCTCCTCTCTCGCCTTGCCCCTAGATCATCAATCTAGCAGCAGGAGCGAAGTCTCGTCCTCAGCTCTCACAGCCGCCGCCAGAAGGGATGCGGCAGCCGCTGCCAATCCCCAAAACCACCCACTTTTCTCTCATCACCTCGCCAACATCTTAGGCCGGCTGGGATCCCAACCTGCTAATCTGTCTGCAGCTCTGACCGCCTCCCTCTCCGATAGGTTAGCTTCAACTAGTGGTGACAGCTGTGCTGCAGATTGTGGTGGTCCCCACCACCTCGCTGCGTTAGGCGGAGCTCAGCATTTCCTCCACGCCCCTCGTTCTTTTGGTGGTTTGGGAGGGAGCGGTGGAGAAGGAGGAGGTGGTGGCACAGGAGGAGAAGGAGGAGGAGGAGGAGGAGGAGGAGGAGGAGGGGGAGGAGGAGGTTGTGGTGATGCGTTTGATCTGCCTGTTGTGCCAGTTGCAGCTCGATTTGGTATTGGGGCCAGCTGTTGGGCCAGCCAAGCACATTCGCAGGCCAATTCGAGGCCTGGAGAAGGAGGTGGTGACAGCATTGAACATGCCCCTGCTCATCTACTGCCCCCCTCCACGTCAGCTTGCCACATGTCACGAGCTAGTGCATTGATGACGCATCAGCACTCCTCGGTCCTCGCTTTGAATCACCAAAGGGCACAACTTGAAGGTTGTGGTCCAGCCAAACTGTTCACCTCATCAAGCATAGATCGAGACAGTGCCGATTTGAGTCCGGATAGCGCAAACACGCCACATGCTGCTTCAGATCATCTTCATCATCATCATCATCACCACCATCATCATCATCCTCAGGCTCACTCCATGCCCCCCCATCTTCATTTCTCCGCTTTGGCAGCCGCCTCCCCTCCTCCGGCTCCTCTACCCACCAGCCACCATAGCCATCCGCATCAACACCATCCGGGCTCTCTGCTTCTCGACGGTCATCTAGCCTCCTACCCTCGCTTGCTCTCGCTAGGAGTCAATGTAAAGCCAGAGCCTTGTCACGGCAGCCCGCTAGGTCCTTGCTCAGACATCTCCACGCATGCGGGACATGGAGGGGGAAGCACGTTTCCCACAACCTCTGGGAGGTTCGCAGCAGCCAAGGGACTCGGTGGCACCATCACCTCCTCCTCCCACCACAACACCAAGAGTAACCCGACCAGGCCTTCAGAACGTATGACTGAGATCACCTTGGCAGAGCTCTCTCGATACTTTCACATGCCCATAACTATGGCGTCCAAGGAGTTGAAAGTCGGTTTGACTGTAAGTCCCAATCTCTCATTATCCAACTGTTTCCTCTCTCTCTCTCTCTCTCTCTCTCTCTCTCTCTCTCTCTCTCTCTCTCTCTCTCTCTCTCTCTCCGTGGATCCTCTTTTTTCTCGCGCTCTCTGCCTCCGGCCCCCTATTCATGGACTTCCTCGTCTTCTTCGTTTACCAAAGTCGTATCCCGACTGTAGGAGGATAACGTCGCGTCTTTTCGATTATTGTTTTTGTCTCTCTCTCTCTCTCTCTCTCTCTCTCTCTCTCTCTCTCTCTCTCTCTCTCTCTCTCTCTCTCTCTCTCTCTCTCTCTCTCTCTCT